ACTGTATTCTCCTGTGTCATGGTTTAATTAAGTTTTGGGCGTGGTAGGAATAATTGAGTACTGAAAATCTGTCATACTACATGATACATATATATAAATGTATATATACATACATACACACACATACAAAATGTTATGTCAGAAGAAGCACAGAAAAAAAAAAAAAGAAGCAGCATAGATTAAATAGCTACATTTTTGTGATGTGAGATACGTTTTCCTGGGAAAATGCGTGAGCAACAAAGATGTTTTAGTCTTCCACTTTAGTGCTTTAAGATTTTAATTTAATGCCATTGGTCTTGGCTTTAAGTATACCTTGCATAATTTGTTATTAGCATAGTTCTTTGTCTAAGACCTATTAATTGTGTGTCTTACTATTTCAGTATTAGCTTTACCTTCCTATTTTTTACCTCATACTGTTTGAGTTCCAGTTTTTTCTACAAATAATTCTTATTCTGTCTTATCCATCTTCTTGCCAACCTGCCATTCAATTAGTTTTTAAATTTGCATTAATATTTGTCTGTATTTGTCTCCACATTGTTTTTGGCAACTTCCTTCCAGTCTTACATTTTTCTCTTCTTTAATTGCAAAAACTTCCTTTTCAGGGTCTTGTTCTTGCCTGAAAGTATTTGTTTTTTCATTTGACTTTTTTCACTTTAAATTACTGTAAAGTAGCATTTTTCAAATTTTTAAATCTTAAGTACCTATTAAACTGTGAAATATGGTTGAAAAGTAGTTGTTAAAACTAGGAAATTAAAATTTTACAATAGTGAATATGATACATAGTCACAATAATATTTGTAATTAAAAATTCTTAAAAAGAACCAATACAAGAGGATTATTTTATGATTTTTATGAATTTCTTTGTTACCTAAATAGAGTAGACTTGTTCTCAGACCAACTCCTGCATTTGGCCTTTTATGATGAAATGTGTCATGTAGTCTCTATAAAACTCTATGGTACACTTGGAGACGAATGAGTTGTAAAAGCAAAGCGCTATTTAGCATTATTCTAAAATGGGTTTGGTGTTACAGACTTCCTAAAATAGTATCAGGGACCCTAGTGGAACCAACTTTTGAACTGCTTTGAGAATAGTTTGAATCCTTTAGTTTCCTTCCAGTCATTTATTGTCCTGAAAGACAAGCTTTAACTGTTCTTATATCATATGAGACATCAACTTAAATGTAGTGAAAAATTTTTATGAATTTAGTCCATTTGATTCTTGTATAGAATTTGCTTAATTAAGCTGTTGCTTTTTGTTTAATACTTTTTGTCTGTAGTACCATGCTAGTACAGTGATGATCCCTGTTCACAGGGAGATATGTGCATACAGTAGGATAATCTACAAAATATGAAAGCTCCTAAAAATAAAAACGTGACAAAATATTCTCATGTTCAGTGACATTCCTTCTTCCCAACAATGTCTGATGAGTGTAAGAAGCTTTTTTGGATGTCCTGAACTAAGTTTTGAAAATAGAATTTGGATAAATGAAAAGATAAGTGATGGGTACACTGCTTTGAATGAATAGATAATTTTAGTTTTCGGAATGTTCCTGTCCTTCCCCTTCTGTCACTAAGTAGTAATACTGATAAATCTTGGATGTAGATAGAAATCTTAGACCATTTTACTCCGTAAGGCTGTACTTTAGGATTTGATAGACTAGAATACAGCTTTATTTGTCTGTTTTTGGCTCTTAAAGGCATCACGCACAAGATGATAACATACACTTCGGCTATTTGTTGTTGTAAATGTATTCTTTGTATTGCAGCATGAAAAGCTTACTGTCTTAATTGGAAGTAGATATTTTTGTTGCTAAAATAGCTTTTTATACAAACTGCTTATTTTAGTATTAAAATATAAGTACAAAAAAAGAGAAAATTTTAGGGGCTTCTGCTTGGTAGGGATTGAAGCGCATGTAAAAAGCAGATTTGTATCACTGTAATAAAAATAGACTTTTCTACACTGGCCATTCACCATATCAGCTAGTTTTGTAACATTTCTATCTGTTTATTTTTCAGCTTTTTTAATCCAACTCAAATGAACTAAACCCAGAAGATTTTTTTAAATGAAGTAATATAAAGATTGACTTTGTCTCACTCTACTCCCCTCCTTGCTTCTCTGCTCATCTAGCACCTGTCTGCTCTCACCCTTCCCATGTTCTCTCCAGTGCTGCTGCAAGATTTCTTCAGCTTCCAGCCTCTGGATCATCCTTGTTACCTAGATTTCCTCAACCATCTCTTCCTCCAGATTTCATCCTACTCATGATTCTCAGTTGGCCTTTTATTTGTTTTGGGCTTGCAACTAGATGCTTTAATTTTATTACCTTACTGTGTTGCTCACCACTTTTTGTTTGTTTTTCCCCCCCTGCTATTTCATATTCTTTTTTGTTTCACATTTTGAGTAGCAAGTGGTAATATTAAAATAAAACATTATCGATGCTTTGAAAATTAATTATTTGGATAATGTTTTAATTCATTCTAGAGTTTAGCTTACCATTTAGGAGCTAGAGAGAATCATTTTGTAACTTAAATATAAGTTAAATATAAATTATTTTATACTAGTTAGTATTGGGTTATAATTGAGGGGGGTATAGTTTTTCTTTTCTCATTGAAATGTTAGCCCAATCTTTTTGTGAATTGTATCATCTGCTTTTACCTGCCTAACTGAGCTCAAGGCCAGTTGAAGTACTTATGGACTGAAGGATCAGTGGACTCTTCACTGAAAAACTATTTTGACATCTAATTTTGATGTGCCTAGACTTGTTGTCTAAGTTGTAGTATACTTAAGACAAAAGAGCTTGATGTTTGGGCTAAGGATCTACATTGGAATGCTGAATTTCTTCTTTTTTACAGAGAATACATATTGGCAAGTTGAAAGTTATCACCCTGTGAAACAGTATGCAGATTCGTGTCTTCTGTATCACATCTGCTAAAATTTTAATTTTTAATACTAGTTTTCGTCCTAGCTTAATCTAATAGCTTGTGTTTTGTTTTTTCCAAGTAATTTAGTGATCAGTAATGCTTTCACTGTTTATCAACATAAATTCATTTGTGATGCAAATAATACCACCTCCCTTTCATTTTTAGCGCTTTTAAACATGATTTTCTTACTCTTGTCCACATTCACTTTTGTGACATTATCATCTTCCTTTTGAGCTTTTTTACCTGTTTCTCTTTTGCAAAAAATAAAAAGTTTCATTGAAGAAATAAGAATGACTTTTCTTAGATGGGGGAGGGTGTTGTTAGCATTATATGATTGGGAATTCAGTGGCATTTTTAAATGTTTTTACAAATGACATTGAACTAGCTATTTTTCATCATAGACCAGATACATACCCAGGGACCTTAAGGGTTTTGTTTCTTCAAACAAAGCACAACCAATTTAAAATAATGAAACACACTTATAAGTACATGTAGCTATTTTTCAATACAAATATATATTCTTGCAGAATTTTGCAAGAGGGTTGCATTTCTTTAGGGGCATTTCTGCTTTGAGAATATACTAATGACCAAACTATATACTTAAGGTAAATTGCTCTGTTAGAGTATAAAACTCTCCCTCAGATTTTTTTTCAAAGTGTTAATAGAAAATAAGTTTTTATGCTGACAAGTTTATAGCAAGTAGGGTATATATATACATACATACATATATATATATATATATATATATGTATGTATGTATGTATATATATATATATATAGCTACTTTCAATAGTGAATTTTTGACACAAGGTGTATTCTTTACTTTTTTATAGTGCATTTGTAGAAGCCAGGGTTTTAAAAACCTCGGAAATTTTTGTCATTTTTAATCTGCTTGTATTGCATGTCTACATATTAAAGGAAAAGTCTAGAAACTTGTCATTTTGTGCCTGAAGACATAAGTGTAGCATACTCTTAATTCTAGATTATTTTGTGATTGACATTTAATTCCTAATTGCCTAAAAATAGTAAACTAAGAATGTTTTACTCATATAGCATCATCTTTTTTATTAATGTCTCTAAACTGTCAAACTTGTTTGGAAAAATACATTACTTTTTCTTAAAACAGGGTGGGAAACCAAAAGTAGCATGAATGTGTTTTATTTTTAATTCCTGTGGCTAGGGTGGCACATTTGCTCCCTCAATAAGAGGACATTGCATGCTTTAAAAGATCAGGGATTAAAAGTTAAGACCATTATGAAGGATAAAATGATTTCCACATTAGTATTTTTGAAAAACTAAAGCAATAAATTGTACATAAAACTTTTTTATTTTTGTTTTTCCAGGTAGTTGGCAAAAAAGGGGAAAGCCACTAAGGTACAAAAGACACTGGAAGATCTGTTGCAGTCAAGATTTGCAGCTCCTGGATAATTGCTTGATTCTCTCCAGAAATTGTCAATGTTTCGTTCATTGCCATTACCAATAAATCATTGCTTTTGTTCAGATGCTATCACTAGTGTTTCTATTGTAATCTTGATACATGCAGTTGTAAATAAAAGTCACTACTTTTGCCAACCGAAAATCTTGTCATTCCACATAAGTATTTTCAGTTGCATTTATTTGAGTATTTTCCAGCTTATTTTAGAGGAGACTTAAATGTTTGGTAACATTGTTTGAAAGCTAGTTTCTCTCTTAGAGGAACAAAACTGTTGTACTGAATTAAGGAGTACATTTGTATGCACACATACATATACATACAGAGTTAGTGATTTTGGTAAATGCACTTAAGAATAACTAACCATGCTCAAGTAAGTACTGAATTTTTATTTTAAAAAATTGGTTATCTAGGTGATATAGAAATTACTCAAATTATAAACTGCCAGAAACAAAACTCTCAGAGTTTACTACTCTTACCTAAAACTGTTAGGTTAATGGGATTGCAAATTCTCATGCCAAGATTTTAATCCTGTATAAACTACTTTGAGTCAGTCATTTTCTTTACTAATTGAGAACTATTGACTAAACATCTGTATATTTTAGTCTTAAAGCTGTAAGTTAGTAGGTGTTGGCAAGTTTAATTTTCAAATTTGAGTGTTTGTTAAATTCAGTATTTTAAGAGAATTATGACTTGGTTAATACATTTAAGAGCATTCTTGTCTAGAAATATGGTAAATACCATTTGCCCTTTGGAGACCAATGTATTTATATGTGAATTATGCAGAAATTATGTGGAAGTTTTACTGTTTAAGTAGTCACTTTCCCGAACCCAAGTGTCATTAGGTAATGTTTAGTTCATTTGTATGTGAACACAGTAACTTGTCTTGGTGATGTCTATATTGTATGTATTTCACAACTTTGTTGCCTTGGGTCAAGTTGGTGACAGAGGGCAAAAAAATAAAAGTTTATAATACTCCTAATATAGACCATGTCAGATTAATTATGCCTGAAATTAAGGATAAGATTAGATTAATATCAAGGGTTTTAGTTAATATTTTTGTACACTTAACCTTTTGGGGTAATTGTTATAAAGTGCCTCATCTTAGATACTGATGAACTCTGCCTATTTATATCTTGACAGTTAAAAAACCCAGTAAAAGTGATCTTTGTAAAGGACTGAGCATTAGATTTATATTGTTTGTGTGACTTTCCTATAACTCAGTTGATTGTAAGACATTCCATAATTACTCAAATTGTAAATAATGAAAACATGTTTATAGGTAACAATAACTTCACTTATGGGAAGTTTTACTGTTACAAATAAAACATGGGTATTTAAGCTTATTTAAAATACCAAGCAGAAATGACATTTTTCCTAAATTAATACATCTATTTGTAAACACTGAAGAGTATTTTAAAAAATTAAAAGGCAACCTAAGTTATTTTAACAAGAGCCACTCAGTAGTACTTTCTAGAAAACTCATTAAATTTTATCTTGTTAGCAAAATGAGAATCCTGTTTGCATGTTTTTGTTAATTTTACATCAGGATGCTGTCCAGTGAGACCCAGCAGTGAAACGGAAGTATTGTAGTACAAAGTATCTGCTAAAGGTTGAGGAATAGCACAGGCGCACTCACTCCCGTGTCCCTATGGCTCTTTGTCATCAAGTCCCAAATTTCCCCTATCTCAGTACTTAGCCACTTAGCATTCTGTTCAGCATTGATGTGTGAGTTTAAACCTGTCTTATCTTGATTCAATGAGGATATCTACATCATGTTTTGCAGTTTATAGGTATGCTCTTAATGTGCATTTCAGCATTTCATTCTTTGCTTCACTTAACACTTTATATTTGAGGAGGTGGAGAGACAAAAAATCCAAAATGGAGTTATGTGCAGGTGGCTCAAGACTGATCCAAACTAGTCAGAAGTCTGAGATTAGAGGATTGAGTTTTGAAGCCAGCCCAGGCTGAAAAGCCTGGAAGACTCCCATCTCCCATTAACTAGCAAAGTGCCAGACTGGAGGTGTGGCTCGTGATAAAGCATGATAGCAGTGAACAAGCAGAGGCCCTCAATTCAAATCCTAAGCAGTTTAGATCTTTCCATGTTCCCTTTTAATGTCACACAGATTCCTTCTTTCTTAACATCTCCTATCCTCCTATCTACTCTCCTTCATGCCTATTCTTTTCTCCCCTTTCCTCTCCTCTCCTCATTGTGGAGCTAGGGTTGATCTCAGGATCTCACTGGTGCTAGGCAGACACTCTACCACTTGAGCCATACTCAGATCTCTTGATTTTTAATTATTTTTTTCAGTCCCTAGGCTGTCCTGGAACCACAGTCCTACCACATAGTAGATCCTACAGGCATTTGCCAACATGCCCTGTTTGTTGAGAAGGGTTCTCACTAACTGTTCAAGCAGACTTCAAACCATGATCCTCCTGATGCACACCTTCCAAAACACAGTCAAGCTTAAAATCTTTAATACTATAGTAAACATAAAGAACTGGAGGTAAGTAACTTACTTATGTCTTCTCCCTTGTAAAAATAAATAATATTGCTGATGGCTCACACCTATATTCCTAAACTAAGACTATAGCTTGAGGTTAAAGCCCCCCAAGTAAATCTGAGATCCTTACATACAGTTAACCAGCAAAAACCTGGATGTGGAGCTGTGGCTCAAGTGGTAGAGCACCAACCTTGAGTGCAAAAAAAACCATGAGACCTTGAACTCAAGGCCTCAGAACCAGTGTGTGCATGTGCTTACCACCTCCCCCCCCAAAATAGGGGCTTACCAATGTTGCTTCTATTGATATGATGCATAGAGCAGGTTAGTAGATTAGATTAATTTTTGTTCTTTTTATTCCTAAGTAGTTTGTAAAGTTCAACCAACCACTAGAAAAACCTTTAGCTTTTATACCTCATCGGGTCTCATGTATTTTTAATGTTTGTTTATTGTAAAAATAGTGTATAGAGGGGTTACAGTTACATGAGTAAGGTAGTGAGTACATTTCATGTATTAAAAAAAAAAAAAATTGAAAGATGCCAGGCATCTATGGCTCAATAAGTTACTTATGAGGCCGAGATCTGAGGGTCAAGATTTGAAGCCAGCTTAGGCAGACAAATCTATGAGCCGGTTATTTCCAATTAACCAGCAAAAAAGCAAACAATGGAGGCATGTGTCAAATGGGGTATTCTACCTGTGAGCAAAAAAGCTGGCAAGAGCTTGAGGCCCTGAGTTCAAGCCCCTGAAACACCAAAAAGTTTTTTACATATAAATAATATATGCTTTAATTTTTTACATATGCTTTATTATACACACACTATGGCATCTAATAGGCAATCAAACTTATTACCCAGGTATTTCCATATTGCATAAGAAAGTATTGATATCATTTAAAACTCGCTTTAAAATTAAAATTGGTTTGTCTTCAGACCATAATATATGCCTAGCACCAAAGGTACAAATGGACAGAGGTAATTTTAGTAAGCTAAGGTCATGTTTAAGCCTACAGCCTGTGTGAAATTATTAATTGAAGAATGTTTTACTAAACTAAGTAACTATAAAATAATGAGAATTAAATTTAGATGCACTATTAAAATTGTATAAAGTTCAGATAATATTAAAGTCAAGATATGTAACCTTCAAACTGTTATGTTTCTCCTGCTTTGGTTAAGCTTTTCTCTGGGAAGAAGTTCATTTACTATAGAGTTAATACTGAGAAGCTGAACAGGCCAAACTTAGAGTGAAAATGTAATTTGTTGGTTTGTACTTGGACATACTTACTCACTGTGCTACTTAGGAATAAGATCTTTGAGGTTTTATCTCTGCTCCTTCACTTGTCACTTTGAGAAAATAACCTTTGGAGTTTTCTCTTGTGTAAAAATAAGGAACATCTGTCTACCTCTTAGGCTTGTAATGAAGATTAAATGCACCTTACGTTGCTGTATCTGGACCAAGGAGAAGTATTTATCTTTCTTCTATATCCTGCTTTCATCTCACCATCACTGCATTTCAGGGCATCATTTCTTGCTCAGCAGAAGACGTAGCCTCTAATTGCCTTCCTCCACCCTCTGATCTGGCCTCTGCAATGTTTCTTCTACATAGTTTCTTCTGACAACCTCCAAAAGGAGAGATAACCAGAAACTGTTTCTTCACCAGTCTCTCCCTGCTGTCATGGCTTCTCCAGTCTGCATTGTAGCACTAGCAGTTACTAGCAGTGTATCCTGATATGTCTTCCTCTGAGTTAATTTGTCCATCTGACACGTTCTTATTTATCTGCAATTTTCCAGTCCAAGCAAAATTGATAGAATCAAACAATTATCTATTCCTCTTTTTCTGGTGTAAACCCTGTATTCATCCCAACCTGATATCTATTAGGTTACTTGTGGTTACTTTTGTCTAATTAGCCCTACTAGGTTATAGGCACTAAATCAATAATTTTGCCCCTAGTACATACTAAACCAGTTTCTTGGGTGTCTTATTAAACACAATGTTGAACAAATAATCGTATTCCATGAACAAAAGGATTAGCTTGGAATTTGCAGTGTAACAAGGTAAGGAACTCTGAAGACAATATGTTGAAAATGAACTGTACAACTTGGCTGGCGGGGGGGGGGGGAGGGCAGGGGAGCAGGGGGGCAGCAGTTGGGAGGGAAGGTAAGTGGAAGAAAAATGAGGAAAGAGGGAACAAGTTCAGTAAGAAATGCACTATATTATATATGTAACTGTAGCCCCTCTGTACACACACTGAAAATAAATTTTTAAAAAGAGAAAGAAAATTTAGCAAAATAAAGAAACAACTCAGTACATGGTGGCTGCATAGATGTATTTCTTTTGGAAATGAAGGAGGGATGAAGCTGAACAAGTGAGTAGCAGTAAGTAGAATAAAGGGCTCTTCTTGCCAAATGAAGGAGATCAAACTTCATCCTTCACTCACCAGAGGAGAATGTGAGGCAGTAGGCAGAGGAGAACATGGTGGTTCACAAGTGTTTTCCTTCTTATGTATAGATGGAAAAATGTGTGTCTGGGGAAGCCACAAGTTCAGAAGGAAGATGAGCATGGTTCTGTATATACTGTCTTGAACAGTGTACTTGAGATACAGTTGTAGCATGTGAGAGGCACATAGGCACAAAGGAGCATATAGAGTTTAGGACTAGAAGTAATGAATTAAGAATTATTTAAGCTGGGCACTGGTGGCTCATGCCTGTAATCCTAGCTACCTAGGAGGCTGAGATCTGAGGATAATGGTTCAAAGCCAACCTGGGCATGAAAGTCCAGAGACTCTTATCTCCAATAAAACACTCAGAAAACCAGAAATGGCACTGTGGCTCAAGTGGTAAAGTGCTACCCTTGAGCTGAAGAGCTGAGGGACAGTGCCCAGGCCCTGAGTTCAAGAACCACGACGGACAAAAAAATAAAAATAAAGAATTAGTGAAAGTTGAAATAAGGAACTATGAGTTATTTAGAGGATGGAAGTTGAAGTAAATATATAAATGGGTGCTTCAAGAGGAAAAACAAAAAAAAATGAAATATAGCAAATGCCAGGGAACACAAAAATATCAAAGAATCAGAAGTGACTAGAAAGCATAGTAAATAGAGACATAGGAAGAAAAGGCAGATAGATAAGTAATAAAGGAGTAGTCATTACATATGATAGAGATAGTCAACTGTTAGCCCATTAAATTGGAAACTGTTTATAGTGCTTAATTTTAAGAACATGGTAATACCAAGAATCTTTTGGTTAATAGTTGTGGAGGTGGGAGGGAAGAGATGGTAGGGGAAAAACAAAGGAGGAGGCAACAATGCTTGATAGGAAACATACTCATTACTTTGCTCATGTAACTGTAGCCCCTCTACACAGTATTTTTACTATAAAAAACATTTTTTAAAAAAGGAAGTGTTAGGAGATTAAATGGTTCTGAAGCCCTTTTGACAATAGAATTTTGAACATTTTATAGTCTTACATAGTTTTACATGAAAATAGAAGGCTTGGGAGATTATTGGCAACATTTTTTAAAATTTAATTTTATTGTCAAGGTAATATACACAGGGATTAGAGTTATATACATAAGATAGTGAGTACATTTTTGGTTGAACTTGTTACCCCCCTCATTTTTCTCCCACTTTCCCTCCCTCC